TTTGCAACAGCCGTATACAGCAATCGCAGCAAGCCAAGTACCTGGGCATCATCATAGATGAGCATCTGTCGTTTCAACAGCAAGTAAGTAACATTAGAAGTAAAGTTAATGCCAAGGTCAATGCATTTCGCCGTTGCCGCCACCTTCTCAGTGCTAGAGCCAAGCGAACTTTCTATCTTGCATTTGTCCAATCTACCCTGGAGTACGCGAGCAATGCGTACGTGCACTGCCTGCGACAGACCACCTATAACGCTCTTATTAGCATCGCGAATCGGGCGATCCGCACTGTCTTTGGCTTCCCTCCCTCTGCCTCCATCCAACCCATCTTAGCTAGACAGCACCTAACACCGTTAAATATTCGCTATGCTGCCAACCTCTATCAGGGCCTGCTCTAGACATTCAACTCAGCCCGGTCAGAGTGTACCTGGCGCATGCAGGCCAGCCGGGTCAAGCCGGGTCAGATCATCCTGCAGAAAAACAACCAAAAAGCCTGCTCAAAACGCAGGAAAACAGAAAGGCGAATTTATTACCGGAAATCGGAAATTTTAGAGAACAAGGCGAACTATCAAAGTCCGCAAACGTGGTAAACGACATTATGTGAAGAATGCAAAGCAGTAACATAATAGAGCACTGGAGGGGGGGGGGGGCCTGCAGCACCTTGTGGAGTGGCTGCTTGCTGCGACTGAATCACCTGCATGGCCAAGCCGACTGGCATCTGCTGCACCATCTGCTGAAAGGCTTCAGCAGACTGGAGAACTGGTGGAGTTGCAACTGCTGCTGCTGCTTGCGCTGGCGCTAAGTGACTGGCGCTGCTGGCGCTGCTGCTGCAGCTGCTGCTGCAGCTGCTGCTGGCGCTGCTGTTGATGGTGGCGCTGTTGCTGCTGCTGGTGCTGCTGCTGCTGCTCTGGGTGTGCGGGCCAGGTCCCTCCGTTCAGACGAGGTTGACGTTGCAGTCGTAGTGCGCCGAGTCACCTCAGAATGCCATGCAGCCATAGTCTTGTCGTAGTTGAAGCAGTGAGTTCTTACCTTTCAACCACGCATCGCAACCAAATCCACCGCCGCTCGTCTTCCTTTGGAAATGCGTCTTGCACAAAGCGCATGACATGGATAGACTGCCTTGGTCGTAGTCCAGCCAGGGTTGACCTTTCTTCCAAGAGTCTTGGAAAGCGTGAGTTTTTTTCTCTTCGCTGCGGGCTCCATCGTCCAAATCACCAGTCGGCTGAAAACTTGCATCTGTGTCAAAAGCTACGCTTTTGACTACCTGCCCCATCGACTTCCTGCGTGATGTCCTGACTTCCTGCTCGCCGCTGGCCAGATCGCGCTCGAACCAGTTGACCCTAGCCGAGTTTCTGTCGCTTGTAATGTAGACTGTAGTCTGTAGCAGGGAGTAGTAAAATACACTGGTCTGTAGTGTGTACGGTTGCGCGAGATTTGCAACAGATGGGGTCCGCGAGTCGTAAAATACGGGTATTTTAGGAATCCATTGTCAGTTTGAGACATTTTTCAGCCGGGTCAGACTGGACCCGGTGTTATCTGTTCAGCCAGGTCGTGCAGTTCCCCAGCCGGGCGCGTGACCCGGCTGACCCGGCTCTCCAGCAGGCCCTGCTCTATGTGTTTCTACATAGATGCATAAATGCTCGTGCTAGTCCCCTACTTTGCCGACTTTTCACTCCTCGTGCTGTTTCATCATCCCGCACTGCTAGAATTACCCATTCTCAGGAATTGCTCGGCCTGGTACTGCCCCATGCCAGATTGTATTTTGGCTATCACTCTGTATCTTATCTTGGAGCTGACCGATGGAACGCCCTCCCTGCCACGATTCGCACCATATCCCTACCTGCTGCATTTCGCTCCGCTATCTTCACGTGGCTAGGGCACCCTGTAAGAAGACCATAGGTCTGTGGGGACTGCCCTAGTAAAATATGAATAAATAATAATAATAATAATAATAATAATCTGGAAGAGCAGGGGACCTAAAATGGAGCCCTGAGGCACTCCGGACGTCACAGACTTGGGGTCAGATATATAGTTCCATTCACTGACAGGCTGATTTCAGTCGAAGAGATAACTACATGTAGTTACTACCGGTAGTGTCCAGGCGAGTAGGGAGCCGGAGACACACCATGAGCACGAAGTTTGGCGATGAGGCCCGTGTGCCACACAGTGTCAAAGACCTTGGAGCGGTCAAAGAAACAAATGCAGGAGACCTGCCGCTGGTCTTTAGAGAGTAGAGGTCTTGAATTATGCGGGATAGTTGCAGGGATGGAAGCCAGATTGTGAGCGGTGAAGAAGAGGGGAGATTATGGTCATAAATGTAGAAACGGTCGTACACTATTCTCTCTAGCAGTTTGGAGACACAGGACAGGAGGGAGATTGGTCTGTAATTAGACGGATTGTTCTTGTCGTCTTTATTTTGTACACTGGAATGACAGTGGCTGACTTCCATCGTTACGGGAATGTGCCGGAGGAGAGGAAAAGGTTAAAGAATGGAGAGTGGGCGGCAATTGAGTACCTCAGTTTCCTGAGGATCTCATTGGTGATCCTATCAGCTCCGGGGGATTTGTTCAGAGGCAGCCGTGCAATATAGAGTACTTGTAAACAGTCGATGAGGTAGTGATCAGGGAGTGCTGGTGGAGGTAGTAAGGGGGAATAGTGGGAATAGGAGCATCAGCGTCAACCTGTACGCCAGCACTGACGAAGGGGCAGTTCAGTAAGTTATGTACGCCAGCACTGACGAAGGGGCAGTTCAGTAAGTTATGGATTAAGCTGCATTATCCCCCCATTATGCCAATGATGGTACTTTACTATACCCTTGCACTCTTGTTGGACTTTGCAACGTTACAACGACTCTGGCACCATGACAGCACGGCTTGTAAGTTATAAGGCCCTTTTAAGGAGTAACATTTTCCTATGCCCTAAATATGCCTGGAGCAGCCGACCGTCTGGTCTCAGAAGTCCTTTTTGCCAGGATATCATTTTTAGACAAAATCCGAAGATTATGCCAGAAAGTATGCCAGCATAATCCGCCAAGGCAGAATGCGGCGGACTACTCCGATTCTGATCGGCCGAACACCTGGTTGCTTGTCCAGAGGCACTACGGCAAGCCACATAATAATAATTAGGCCACACTGAAGAAGGTCTGTGGTTCGACTCACCCGACCGACCGTACATTTTTCAGCCCAACCGTCACTTTTTTTCGGCGGGCTGTCGTGTGACTGACGTACGTGGACTGAACACGTCCACGTCTACGTGCTGTGCAGCGTGAGTCTGCGGACGCAGGCGGCTCCTTTTGGACTTGACTTGTAGTTGTACTGCAGTGCAGTGCAGTGAGATTGCACTTTCCTCGTGTATTGGGAACCAATTTTCACCTGTACCGGTAAGTTGCTGCTCCATGTGTGCAAGCACAGGAAGTGTCGATGGAAAAAGCCCATGTATTCGTGCACGCCGACACCAAACTAGCAATACATGTACCGGTACATTGTACAATTTGTACTTCGAAGTAGTTCCCGAACTTACTTTCAACTCGCATCGTTCTTCATTTGCTTGATGATTTGGACAGTCAGAGTCACCGCTTGAAGTTATTCTCTTCTCGTTCCAGAGCTACACAATGTTTCAAAGTATTAGCCAGTGATCCCTTTATACAACATGTATGGCATAACACTGCGTAATAATGCCGATGTACTGGGTGTCTAAAGGCAGTACAGTGTATTTACATGTACAAAAAAATATATAAAAAAAAAAAAATCCGCCCGCCCGCCCGTAAAAAAAATGTCCATGTTAGTCGAACCACACACCTTCTTTAGTTTGGCCTTATAATAATTTATACAATGTAATGGTTGCAGTGAGATGGGGTGCGCATACTTGGTAGCTATGTGCCTGGCACAGGTAACTCAGCATCAAACAGTGTATCTTCCTACAATCCACGTCATGTACATGTATAAGCTCTTCTGGGGGTAAAATTGCGGCTTACCGTAGTTCCGCGCATATAAGCCCATGGGCTAATATACGAAATAATGCATTTTCCGGGAAAAAAAATCAGTAATAATGGTTCGTTTTTTAGCCCTGGGCCTATATTCGAATTTTGAAGGGAGATGGCACGCGAAAAAGTACAAGTCCGTGCGCGGTTGTCCGCCCACCGTATACTGCACTGCTGAAAATTCAGCACTTGTTTTGTCTTTTTCAATTTCCTTTCTTTTTTTAAAACCCTCCACTTTCTTGTTTTCTGGCTCATCAACAAGAACAGCTCTGTACCGGTATTGTGAAAAATACACTTGACAAACGGGTCCGTAACGGTGTTTGGGTCTGTTTATTAGCCCATAGGCCTATAAACGGAGGTGGGTTATATCCGGATACTGTATAGGCCCGTGGGCTTATATGCGCGGAACAACGGTATACTCGGGAAGTACGGTAGGACCGGTTTATGAATTTCGGAGTCCGTATAATTATTATTGATGTTGATGATGAATAGCTTGAGATTTGTAGGTTTTCTGTCCCAAACAGGCATTTGTAATCAATAGGGACCTTTCGCATCTGCTACGAATCGAATGGAAAACGAGAGTTTGATTCGGCTCGTAATCGTTTCGTTGAAAACAGATTCAGGTTTCGCAAGTCATTATGCAAATGTGTATGACAACTACGAATACGCCCGGTAGCTTGGCGTACGGGTGTTTACATGCACACGTGCATGGATCATGGAATCAAGGGAAAAATGTGTACCTGGCCAAGTAAATGTGTACCTGACGGATTCGGAGCGCGCCACGAATGAAGAGGCTTCCATTCGTGAAAACGAGCTCTCCGCATGGACTCTGACGAATCCTCGAAGCCAGGTGACGAATCAGCATTATAGTTTCGCATCCGTACGCATGGTGCGAAAGGTGCCTGGTCATGGTGACGCCACGCCAGGATGCTACTGTTAGTAGTGATGCTACAGTAGGAGTCACGGCAGCTTGTTTCCACACCCACATGCACACACACGCAACGTGACACACAGAGTCAGAGGCTACACTGGGAAATGGAGGACTACTTTTTCACTGTTCTACACAACTCCTTTATCGTTTGGAAATGACACCAGTTGTGTGCATACTACATGTGTGTACAAACAGTCTGCTGAGCAGGGGATGAGGCAACGCAAATCTAAGAAGCTGCTGCAGGGCCACAACCAGGGGCCACGGCATCACGGCATTCTTCACAAACAAAAAGACACATGGGGAAATGGCAAGAAAGATTACCACCACGAAGACAAATCCATTGTGCAATGCTGTCCAGCTAGCAAGTCCTACTTAAGCACAAGGCATGCGACAGGGTAGCCGGGTCAATACATCATCAACGTAAGAGCGGCGGTTGATTGCGTGCAGACATGTAAATAAGAGCGTGCCATGGGTTCATTTTAAGACTAAACCCCCCGTGGACAAAGTTCCAAACATCAGATAAAACGCTAAACGCAGCCACCTGCAAATTCCCTCAACCTAACTAGTTAGTGTGTGTGGTTAGTGATTACAAGCTAACTAGGCAGACCGAGCCTTGCGCAAGCGTTCCGAACGACACAGTATTTTCTGTGGCCAGTGAGTCATGCTGATGTGGTGATAGCACAGAGAAAATTGATGGGCAGCAGTTAAAAGTCATGCAGGCACGAGTTGAGCACACGGACATGCCGAGAACACATGAAAAAAGAGGAGTAAAACGGAATAGGGTACAGTACAAGTACACAACGGTGGTCCTGAAATCCGATAGCACATCGCAACACACAATACAACCAACCAGAGTGGAACAGGTGAAGATGAAGAACTCGACGACGATGACAACAATGATGATGATGATGATGATATGATGGGTGGCAAGCGGGTGGTCTCAAGGTTGCACAGGGCGAAAGCAGAGCGCGGCGCCAATGTGCTAGGACACATCTGAGAGCAAACACAGCACACGCACAACATGACAGATGTCAGATTTGCGCTGTACTGCGAACAGTAGCAAGAGTACATAGCAATCTCAAGCACACTGGGGAGGATACACCTGGCAGCAGGGATGCGCGTCTACCCGATTATTCCAATGTACAGTAAAAACACATTTCTAAATCCACTGCTCAAGGGAGCGGTAAAAAGAGGCCTCATTGGCCAGGCGGTCTCATGATCCAGGTGCAGTACGCTGTGTGACCTCACTCCTGGTATACATGTGATCAAGAGTACATAAACTGTTGATGTACTAATAACAAGAGTACATAACCAAGAGTGTGCAACTCCTATCTTGAGCTGCGATGGGTTCACCCATGGCGGAATTATTTTATTGCGACATTCTTTGGCAGAAGTATGATGAAATGGGTATGCTTTCCCGCGCTGGTTTTGTAGATACGGTGATAGTTGGTCAGGTTCAAGTCACATCGATCTATTGTCCGTTGTTCTGCTTCGACTACCGTAGCTGTAATGTACAAATTATTTGTACTTTGATCTCTGGCTACGCATGATGGCATCAGTGAGCCAAACCGCCGCCAAAGACTGATGTCATAAAAAAAATCCGCCGTTAGCTGGAGGATCGTCGAGTTGCACACTCTTGGTTATGTACTCTTGCTAGTAATAATAATAATAATATTCGCGGGATCCTCGTTGGCATCACTTAAATGTTCAGAAACACACAACTTATAGCCTTCGCTTCCGCAGGCCACCACTATGTCCTACAGTCCGTTTCAAAAAGATTTACAATCAGGTTTTGGTCTTAAAGTATGAAGATAAGGGAATTTGGACAACAAAGTACATAAAAGGGCTTGTTAGGGCACGGCAAATTGTTCTGTGAAGGTTTCGGAACAATTGGACCAGCGGTTAAGGAGTTAGAATTTCGGCCAGGTCTCGGGCCTTTTCCAATGGTTCACAATTTGCCCTGGAAGCCAGTATTGATTTTTTATCAATACCCACAATTTATCTTTTCCTTTTTGGCCTTGTGGTTATCAATGCTGTCTGCTGACCATGAAGTTGTGAGTTCAAATCCCAACAAATCTTAAAGTCAAACAATAGTTCATAACCCCCAAGAGTGTGCAACGGGCATAGGCCCAGCGCTCGGCGAAATTCCTATATTACGTCATGTGCAGCTCGTCATCCGAGGCAAATTTGGGTTCTTTGCGATTTATGGAAACTATACCCTGAACCGCTCCTAACTCAAGGCTGTGGCCTCGACTTTTTGAAGCTTTTTTTGAAGACATTTCGGACGTACAAGTCGTACTTTCTCAAAAACAAACTCTTTCTCCAAGAATCCATGGACATCGCGACAGGAAGAAGTGAGGACGCTGTTAAAAATATTGCATTGCCGTCGAGGACAATCATGCTGATAGCTGTGCAACTCAGCCGAAAAATGCTCCTTCGACGTATTCTCTCAAGTTCCTCAACCATTTGAAATCATCTTCGAGGAAAGCACCGGAAATATGCCGATGGCCTGGGGAAGAAATTGTTCTTGAAGAGACTGACTGCACTGGTGAAAGAAGAAGGCCATGAAGAGTCACCATTGCATCGAAAAAATAAATAGTTTTGTCTTTAGGATCGTGTGCTTTGTTTCACTTTTGCTTCTTGAGGCTCAGACTCAGACTAGAATCGCAGTTTAGGCAGTTTACCCTGGGGAAGCATCCAGGTTTTACTGTAAATTTTAGAAGAATTCATCGGCGTGACTCATCGCACTGCACCAAAAATGACGCAATGAAGGAATTCCGCCGAGCGGGCTTCCATACAGGGACTGATCAGGAGTTGCACACTCTTGGGGGTTATGAACTCTTGGTCATACTGATCAGTACCTCACACTGCATACACCCACATCATTTTAAAGTAGGGCTGAAACGATTATACCGAATAATCGAGTATTCGTTTGATAACTTAATGATCGAGCAATCGTTTAGATTAACGATTACGATTATTTTGCGTTTTTAAAGTTGTGTCCAGAAAGTACTGTAAACCCTCGTTTTGTGAAGTTTGAATCAGTTTCCGCTGGGAGTATGCAGTTGCCAGGGGTATGGTTCATGTTCTGAGGTTAAATTGACTTCAAAACTGCCATGTTTCGGAGCTACCCTTTCACTAATGCAGATTTGTTGGTATTATGAAGGCATAGTTTGTGGAAACAGAGTAATGTTTGCACAGAATTATGACTCTATTTGCTAATGATTATACCGTACTTCCCCAAATATAAGCGCATGCGCTTATAAGGCCACACTTAGTTTTTTCTATGTTTCTCGTCGCCGCGCGCGTAGGTTTTCACAATTTTTGGAAAAAAAATTTCGCACTCCTGCATGTGTACGGCATACATGTACAATGCAGCAACGCAAAGTGTCAAAAATCGCACTTTTTAGTACGCGGGTACGACGCGGTGTCTGCATGCAGCAGTGTGTTCACTGGCGTGTCACCCTAGGCCCTACTGCAGAGTGCAGGGCTGGCCGGTCCAAGTGCCGGCCTTGTCATGCTTTCTTCAATCGCTTCCGCGACACCTCAACTCGCTCATGCAAGGACTTTAGGTCCCATGTCGATTCACATGATTCACCAGGAAGGTATCACTATCAGAAAGGTGAGAATCCCAGTTTATAACTACAGTGAGTTGTGGCCAAAGAAACCCGGCCTACGACTCGCCGGAGTCAAAAGCAGCTCCGCGTTTCTCTTTCAACAACACCACGTACGGCCCAAGCACCCATCCGAGGGCCGCATTGGCCCACGCATGAGACTTGGCGCTGCTTTCAGCTCACGGATCGGATTTCTTTGGCAACAATACGACTTCGCCTTTGCATGAATCTCGTTTCGATCCCGTGAAGACAGCGAAGCTGGAGAGTGAAGTCGATATCTTCGTTTTGGACAGCGACAGGCTTTTATTTTCCGTCAGTCTGGCTACTGGTATTTTGAAGTTGAAGCACTGAGGTGTAGCGCTGGTGTTTAGTTTTCGTGCGTAGGCCGAATGGCCGAAATCATCAGCTTCTCCGTCATTGTTGACGGTCGCCGTTGCCTTGATTGGTATGGTGAGAGCGTCGACGATGACAAGTCCTTCCGAAGCGTACTCGAACAACTACTGGCCGACAAGGATGCACAGTTCAAGGAAGACGTCAGCGCAGTGATGGATGGAGATAGCAGCATTTCTGTGAAGGTACAGAAGGAACCATCCTTGCAGTCCGTGTGCATCACCGTGCAACCAGGCTTGGTTGCAGTGCCGACGTGTCGGCGGTTCGGGTTCTTCGTCACGTTCATTGTCACAACGAAGTCCGAATCACAACAGCAAAGAACTGCTCCCCGTACGAATGCGTTCTCTGCGATGATGGCGGCGGCAACGAAGCTTTCACTGCCTGAGCCTCGCGGGTCCCAGGAGTACCGTGAGTCGGAGAAGTGCCGTGGCGACTGGCGTCTGCGGAACGACGTCGTGGAGATCCTACGCGAGCAGAAACTCGGCTGGACACATGGCGAGGAAAAGACGAGTGGAAAAGCATTCGTTGATGCGATAGCTGATGTTCTCTTCGCCATCTCGCCATCAAAGCGCTTGGCGACTCTGAAGAGCAGAGGAATTGTCAGCCCCGCTGTGTTCGAGTGCATGGTCAGCAAAGGCAATGAGTACAACGACCCAGGCCAACACAAGCACAATGCTGTGAAGCAGTTCACTCAGGACGAGGTCTGTCACCTGGCAGACCAGCTGTATGGTGTTCTGTCCTACCCTTGGGTGAACACTGCTCGCTGGAAGTGCTTGACTGGCCACATTGCTGGCTTGGCTGCTGGACTCCGGAGCTATGGCAAGTACCTTGCAGAGTGCGCTATGCGTGTCCAAAGTCGTCATGAAGCTACAACAGCAGCACATCATCCTGGCGACGGGACATCAGCTAACATCACCATGAAAAAGGGTGTTGTGCGCACGGATGGCAAGGTGATACAGAGATACCAGCAGTTGGAGAAGGACCTAGAAATGAAACTGGAGTTTCAACCAGTTCACCTCAATCCACTCATGCCCATCAACCGTCATGACCGGTATATGTACCTGCAGGAGTTTGCGCTCCCCTTTGATATTGAGATGCTGAGTTACAGCCAGGGTGGTAACCTGACCACTTTGTGGTGGTGCTGGAAAGTTGAGGAAGCTGACACTGATCGCACAGCAAAGGTTGTTGATGGTCTGAAACAAGACATTAGTGTCTACCACACCCGGGCAATGAGACGAGCGTTTGTCAGTCGCTATGGCATGCTGTCATCCACAAGTCCCACTGTGTTGACGGAGATGTACAGAGAGCCAACTGGTGATCAGTCTGCATTGTCCTGCACTGTCACTACTGCTGTCCACCAACGGCTGAAAGCGGCACTAGATGCGCAAGATCCAGACATGGTGTTTGACCTCAGAGAATTGAATTCTGGGAGGCCAGAAAAGTACCAGCCATTCTGGGATGCAGCGAGGGCATTCTTAGAAGCTCATTCTCTCCAGGCCGTTGACAGCCGACGGCACGGCACTGTCACCCATCTTGCTGCAGCTGTCTCAACACGTGATTTTGTTGAGCAAGTTGCCAAGACTGTACCGGAAGGAACACCCATACCATCCGTTGAATGGGTTCAGTTCCAGTTCTGGCCGAGCAACCCGTTCACCCAGTCGGCACGCTGGTACACTGGCAAACTCAACATCCGCCATACCCTGCAATCTCGGCAACTCCATCACGACCATCCGGATGCGCACTATGCTGCGGCTCAGTTCCGCTACTTGCGAGAGTTCGCAGTGCAGTATCGTGACTCTGCTACACTGGTGTCTATGGACGACAAACATCTTGTTAAGGTCGGCGAGCCCGGCTTCCCAGTCGCTGCAGTCGACCGGGGGCGCTCTGTGGTTGTCGGAACCACGGAATCATTCCAGGTGGCTGATCATGACTTCACCAAGCTGAAGATCACTCCATCTGTTGCCCTCGTGTGTGAAACTCCGAACTCTATCGAGGAGTCGTTCTACCGAGGAAAGGTCTATGTCTCAGTGAAGCACACCGCACTCCAGCCGTCATCACCGCTGCGGCATGCAGCCGAGTTGAAGAAAGTTCTGCGAAGGGCTAGTGTGAACACCGTCAAAAAGCCGATTCTTCTGCTCTACACGGATGGAGGGCCTGATCACCGCGTGACCTATGTATCTGTCCAGGTGTCGCTCATGTGCTTGTTCAAGTCTCTCGGCCTGGACTACCTTGTCGCAATGAGAACAGCACCGATGCAGTCCTACCGCAACATTGTTGAGCGTGTCATGTCTATCCTGAACCTTGGCATGCAGGCAATTGGCATGATGCGATCCACCATGGCAGATGATATGGAGAAGCTGCTGAAGAATGTCAACTCTATGGCTGAGCTGAGAGCACAGGCAGAGCGCCATCCGGCCTTGAAGGATGCTGTGAGCAAAGCCATGGAAGCACCCATGGAGCTCATGAGCAGTACATTGTCGCGCCTTAAGCTGAAGGATGAGCCTGTGACTGTTCTGCCAGGAGCTGATGATGCCAGCATTGACGAGATGTGGGAGGAGATGAAGACCATTGATCCTGCCGTTAGCCGAGCTGACACCACACAACTCGCTATCAAGAGCAAACAGCAGCTCCAAGAGTTCTACAAGCACTGCTGCCATGTCCGCCATTATGCTTTCACGATCAAGAAGTGCGGCGAGGAGACCTGTGAGATCTGTGGTCCTCCAGTCCTTCCCAGCGACATTTTCAGCACTCTGGCCATGTTCCCAGACCCAGTGAAGAAGCCTGGCAGTGAAAGCTACCTACCATTCGCTGAGGTATGGGGCAAGGCCACAGATGACAGCCGGCCATCGGCACGATTAGCCAAGGGAGGGACAAAGCCGGATCAACAGCGTGAAGGTGATGTCCAGCTCAAGGCTGAAATTGCCAGGCTGACTGTCGTCTGCAGTGAGTGTGCCAAGCCAAGATGTGTATTCAGCTCGTCCCGCCTGAAGGACACACAACAAGTGGCCATCCGGCAGGCACTGGATGACACCGACTATGTCTGTGGAGCCGCGCTTCTGGCGCCTGACCACGAGCTCCATCGCCTGGTCGTTGTCTGAACAAGCCTCGACTGCTCTTCTGACGTGGAACGAATGTATTTTGCGTCGAAGAAGAGTTTTCCAGCCGTCTGCTTTTCCTGTGGTGCCAGCGACCCTCCCGCCCCAACACCAGAGCAGCGGGAGAGGTACCAGAGTATCCACATGCCATGCCAGTCGTGCGGCAGCAGAGGTACAAAGCCCCGCACCCGTGGTGAGCAGAAAGTGGGAAACGCATCGTCCCGGAAGCGCAAACATGCTGAGACAGAGAACTAGTCACGTTAGCCAGTCACGATTCTGTTAGGCAACATGGACTCAGTGTTCGCGATATACCTCGCATGTACATTCATTCCACACGTCTGATTCAACATGCGTGTCACATGTATTTTTGTGTTGTATTTGGAATATATCAAGTGATGTGGCAGCCGATCATCCCCGTTTAGTTTATCTGTCGTACTATTGGCTGCTTTGTATGTACATGTATGAGCACATTGTTGCTCTTTGCTTGCTATGTGTGGGCTGATAATCCACCATAGATATCATGTGAATAGCACTTTTTATTAGTGATGCCATGACGTATTGATCACACATGTACAATGTATACAGTTTTCAGTGGAAATTGTTCTTGTTTTTTTCTTGACTTTTGTTTTTTTTCCGCCCGCCCGCGTACCTTTTGTTGAAATTCACCGACGAGAAACATAGAAAAACTAAGTGTGGCCTAAGCGAAAATTTGCTGCAAAAAATCATGGCTGTGTAAACATGTAATCGATTACTCGATCGTTAAGCTAAAGAGTAATCGATACGTGAAAATCCACGATCGCTTCAGCCCTATTTTAAAGTGTGTAGGTGGCATAGGCGCGGGTCCCTGCATGAATGACAACAGTGATGGTCCAGCAAGATTGCATTTCACGAGTGCGGTCGCACGGCCCTCAGCCGTGTTGAGCGAGCGGTCACCTTATCCGAGCTGTTTTGACTGGAAACGCAGCCGCGACAAAAAAAAAACGGGCATCTTGTGTTGCAAAAGAAGGATCCACGATCTAGTGGTCGCCTTGAAGGTTAAAAAATACATAAATAAAACAATACCACAAAGCTGGGGGGGGGGGGGGGTACATGATGGGATTTACACAGGTCAAACAACAGAGCCTTAGAGCTGCTGATGACCGTCCCAACTCAGCGGCGGCAGTGTCTTGGAAACAATGGACGAGAGTTATGGCAACTTGATTCTACATGTAATACTATCGGTATCTTCCTTGTTTACTAAAGGGACCCGACAGACCGATGGTTTTCTTATCAGGCATAGGCGTCTACATGTGTAGAACTGCGTATCAGTACAATAAGTGTATGTTAAGTTGCTTCCAAATTCGGGCCAGTGCAGTCTCAGAGCTGCCTGCAAAACTGACAGCCCTAACTCTGGTAAACGTATCTTATCTACGGGATATCAGCGAGACGCTGGCCCTGGCCCAACGACTCGCTTCGAGTGAAAAGCGAAGCTAGATTCACGTCCTCTCCAAACTACCTCACCATGCCTCAGAAAGGCACAGCGACTCGATCGCACATTCTCTTTCGGCATATTGCTCCAGTTCAGCCGATTTTCACAATTCAAACTGCGTTACAAAGCGGAGATCCACATGCTTCCTCGTGCGTCCATCAAGCATTTGCAGTGCCAACGGGAAATCCCCTCGCAAGCACCAAAAATCTGCGAAGGCATGAACAACAAATTCATGGACACTCAAGACTGTGATTTCCGTGTTCACGCCCGTCTCATATAGAAGCCTGCAAAATTTCCCCCGAAAAGTCATAAGCACGACTTTTAATACGGTTTGATGGAGATACAAAAGTGTGTACACTGGTCTATGCCCTGCGCAAATCTCATGACGCACATAGACGTCACTTGTCGTTTGATGACAGGCATATGCGTCATTGGCACGGAAAGGGATAGAGGAGGCATAACTGCACAGGCAAACACAAACCATGCACCATCAAAACTCACATGAACACTCTTTGTCAGCAAAGTGCTGCCGTAAATTGTCCTGGGTGAATCGCACGAAACTGTCATATTGATCTGCACACAAAAAAGCAGATGCCAAACAATACTGTAAATCATATTATTTTAACGACCCGCAAAGTTAACGATTTTCTGATTTTCGAAGGTTAACCTTTTGTGTACGGACTGTACAACTTTCGATCCCCTGGGATCGAAACTTTTCAAATTTTCAATCGATCGTAACTCAGTCATTTCTGGGTATTTCCAAAACCTAAATTATGTAGGTCGAAGAGAAAACTCCCAGCTGTCCACTGAAACAATCGCAGAAACACTCTGATGTGCGGCTCCAGAGTTACGAAGCTCGAAAGTCAAATCGCGGCAATTGTCGCTCAATAGCCGCGTGCGCAGATTTGAATTAGGGATTTTCCCATCTTTCTGGGCATCCAGTGACGTAGAAACATATTCAAAATGGCAAACGGACTCGTGGCAGATTGTGAAAAATTTTGGAAGTAAAAATTAGTTGTTACAAGCAAGGAGAGCGAAATGGCTGATACAAGACGACTTCTGTCGGAATATTGGCGTTGCAACTAAGACGCTGGGCTGTAGCGCTGGAGTTTTGACCTTCGTGGTGGCAAGTGTGGGCTCAATGTGTTCCTCTTGCGACGAGCTTTCCAGGAAGCTCAAGATTGAAAAAATCGTCAAAAGGAGACCAAAGTTATGACCCGGAGAATTATGGAATTTCAGGCGAGTCGAGATCAAATTCAGTCTGTGTACATTTTTTCAGTACATAAAGGGTTAACGGTTTGAAAAGTTAACGATTTTCTCAGACAGATGCAATGATACTAGGAAATCCGAATGCTCGTCAAGGACATTCATTGTTGTCCATCACAGTATACCTCGATGTCAGGAGAATAAAGAAAATGAAATTTATCCAGCGTAAGAGCGTAAAAAATTCAAATTTGTCGATCTCCTGCCGCTTCGTCAAAATTCATCTGAGAGACTTCGGAGTTGTTCGAGCCGACTGCTGAGCGCCTCTGCTATCATCTAGATCTTTCGATTGTTGAATTCCGTTGAGAATTGACCGAGTTACGATCCGTTGAACACGCGCTGCATGCCATAATGTGAAATGATCGATTTCAATCGTGCGAGGCCCAAATCATACGACTTTTGCTAACGAATTTTAAAATAACGACAAATCTTTGCTCGTTAACTCGTTAGATTTACTTGTTCGTTACATATTCATGATTTACAGTAATATGAGCTGTGCTGTCATTAACACACACACACACACACACACACACACACACACACACACACACACACACACACACACACACACACACACACACACACACACACACACACACACACACACACACAACTCCAACAAGCTTGATAAGTTTTACTGAAAAACTAAAAACACATATCCTTCACAACTACTACACAGACCAATCAATTGAAACAGTAACCAGTAACACCAAGGAACGTAGTACAGTCAGACCTCGCTTATCCGGTCCTCGTTTATCCGGATCCCTCGCCATCCGGAAGAAATAGTTGGTTACAAATGTACAGCATATGCCATGCTTACATACAGTATGTGTGTTCGATTATCCGGTTCCCTCGCCTATCCGGATATTTTTGTGGAAAACGGATGTGTGCGGTTATGCGAGGTCTGACTGTATAGAGCTTTTTCAAGGTTGTACCAACGGTCACTTTTTGGGGTCACGTGTGAGAAATTTATGAATCGCTGGTGAACAGGCGAAGCCCAGTTCACGTTCACTTTGTATGGGAATGGATGCGTGGAGATGAAAGAAGCAGTAGAGTGGCACTCCACTTGATGTCCGACACTCGTGTTGAGTCAGAGCAGTTGCCAGGAAGCCCTTGGCGAAAAAGAACAAGCTCCAGAATCGCTCCAAGCGCTGGTGGAGACGAACCTGTCACATTTCGTATACTTTTCAATGCATTTTGACATGTGACCTGTCCCTGGGTGATTGCCGGGGCGGTGGCGGGAAAGGTGTCCTTGAAAAAGATCTATTGCCAGCGCTGGTTCGAAATTGTGTCCGGTTTACCCATGCTCACGTTACAAAGGCCAGGAATCTGAAATGTTATGCCGCACAGTAAAGTCCGTCATCCACAGAACATAATTGAGCCGCACCATGAAAAAAGGGTGCTTATAGCAAAAATTTCACAAATTGAGTTATGGATACAGCGCAATGGCTGAATTCTCACTGCTTCTGTTGCAAAAAACCGCATTCAAAAAGCTTGATAAATCGCAACGAAAACTAATCGAATTCAAAAACAAAATGTGCACTCTCAATATTGCATACTTAGCTTTCAAACGAGTTTTTCTCAGTTGGATGTCGCATGCCATAAGCACCCTTTTTCGTGTCGCGGCTCATATATTGCTGGTAAGGTTTGTCCTGTGCTCACCACAATACGTGTGTTCATGGTGCTCAAAGATGCTCTACCAACCCTTCAACTAACTTAGCCGCTTGGTCTACAATTTCAAATATCGGCAGTGTGTAGGCACCGGCGGATTATGCTGGCAGAAAAATTGGCAGAATTCGGTACTTTTTCTGGTAAGTTTCATGCATGTTTGGTATGTGGATAAAGAAATGGAGCAGAATTCAAGGAATTGCCCGCCATAAGGTTTGTATGGTTCTGCCAATTTCACTGCTTTTCGAGCAGAATCCGCCGGTGCCTAGCAGTATGACAGTCAATGTGTTGGTACAACTGTTCAGCATCTGAGCGCACATATCAAACAGTATGTTCTTCTCTCGTTCGCAGCCCTTGACAACCAGCTGTTTGCTGTGCAATCCATTTTTTCACACGCTAAACAAGCAATGTGCGGCGCAGTTCTCGAGTGAGTGGTTGGTGCAACCGGCCAGCACTGCAGCGGTACCGGGTATTGTGCGCCCTGCTATCTCTCTCTCTCCCCCTCCCTCCCCCCCCCCCCCCTCCGTATTGTGCTCCCTCTCTCTCTGTAGATTCTCCCTTATAAACAGAGCTTATTGTGTAACGGAGAGTCAGAACTTTCAGAACTCCGACACAAGAGACAATCTGTGTCTTTCTCTCGTTCAGTGCAGCAACGTCTCATGAAAGCGGAATCCTCCACTTTGGCACAGTAAGTATAGAACGACTGAACAGTCTATCAAGAGAACATTAACTAGAGTGTGCATGCTTGGTTTGGTCCACAACAAAATGTTCTGTTGGCGTCAACTTTGTGGAGACCATGAGTCGTACCATACCAAGCTTGCACTAGAGTCAGTGGCTGTGAGAACTGGGCCGGGCTTCATGTCTGCAGAACTTGCTTTGTGATAACAAAAAACAGCGGGAGAAAGGGTCGCGATGAAGGTCAGCACCCAGCGCATGATTTGTACGGCGTGTGTCGTGCTTTCCGAAAAAGCCGACATCTACAAAAAAAACTCCGCCATGGACCAGACCAATTGTGGAGTTTCACACTCTGGCGTATGCACTGTTGATTGGATACATACCAAGTACGGCACCCCCTCCAACACACAGCGCCAAGAGTACATAACCCCCCAGAGTGTGCAACTCCCACATACCCTGCTGTCCCGACAGAATTTCAAGTTGACGTCATTATTTATGACGCAATGCTCCTTGCACCAGTGATTTACAACATGTGTACGGGTGTCAACGCATCACACGTTTTTCTTTGCAATAATTATTTGTACACGATCGATCGGCTTCGGTCAACCACAGGTTCCGGATTCGTCTGATAATCCGTGTACAGTGCGCATTGCATCATCAAAATGACGTCAACTTGAAATTCTGTCGGGACAGCACCTATAGTGGAGTTGCACACTCTGGGGGGTTATGTACTCTTGACAGCGCACATGCACCCTTCCACAAACACACCTAGCATGCCTGTACAAATACATGGGTAAAGGTGCAGTTTAGGGTGCCAAATTATTTCGCACTTTCTCAGCGTTCTGCGTACTGTCACGCGTGCCCTCTGTGTACTTTCCAGCGTGCTTGAGTGTGTTTCGCAGTTTTGGGTCCTTAGCGTTGATTCCTTTGACTTTGTGGTAATGGCTAGGCGTCCCGGTGCGGCGATACGGATTGTCCCGCAGGGACACATACTAAACAGCTACTGTGTTTTTGATCTTGGTTTGCAAGGTTTCTGGGGTCCATGTACACAGAAAGCACACGTGACAGTACGCAGAACACTGAGAAAGTGCGAAATAATGTGGCACCCTAAACTGCACCTTTACCAACACATGTCCCCTTGTATGTACCCCTACCATAACCTACATTGTGCACATAACGTACTAGTAGGGAGACTGAACAGAAATGGCAAGAGAACGTAAATGGGGACACAATTACATACCTGTAAGTCGAGCAGTCAAAATTTCATCGAAAAGAACTTTGAGCTCTTCTTCTCGTTCTTTCAGCTTCCTTTGACAAAAGTCTGCCACTTGTTTAGCGGTGAATACGGGCTTTTCGGGCTTAGCAGCAACAGCGTCGACTTGTTTCGTTGATTGCATATCCTCAGGTGATTTCTCACTTTGTTCTTGCCTTCTATCCTTTCGGCTCGTGGGACTTGCCAACGCAGCCTGTTCGGACATACCAGCAAAATGGCGTCGCCTCCGCCGAATCATTCTAATTTCTCCATTTACGTCCTCCAAGATGCGTGCTATGGTGAGACAGAAAACAACGTTTACCAAACACAAACAACAAATCCATGAGGTCATGTACTTATGCACGACACAACACTCACAGTAACAATGTCATGATAACACTGGTTGAGGCAAAGCTTGCATTTTCCAATACTATCACACACCTATGCACTATACCACCACAGAGGAAAGGGTGAACAACGACAAGCACAAGAGAGCGCAAGTCGTTGACAACAGCTCAGAACACTGGTAACAACTGACCAATGACATTTCAACAAGCCATCGAAAAAGCAGCATGAAACAACACCAAAAGCAACTCACTTCTAGACACTGGAGTTTTCTGGAATATCGGGGAACAGCTTGCGACACTATACGGCAGAATGGGAGAAGAAGACTGGCATGATGACATTGCAGCGAACGAACACCTTCTCTTTGTCGAAGGCTCCCCACACCCATCTTGTGTTGGGGTGTTCTGCAAATCAAAGTGTGACCGTTTGAGAGCAACGCAAGCCATAGCTACAAAGCCAGGCCGAAGACTGGTAAGGAGAGGGTCTGGAGCCAAAGCTGACGGCCACTGACTGCCGAGCTAACTGATGAGCTTTGATACCAAGAGCGTCTAGTAAACGTAAAACTGCGGAGTGTGAGAAGAGGGACTCAGCAGTCTGTAGCTCGAAACAGCAAACTGCTTTTTTGCTGCCCTTCTATCTTTTACACAAGGCCAAGCAAGAGGCGCTACAAGTACAGTAGAGGCATGCATACAATCACTGCAGAGTTCGAGTGCAAGTCAGTGCACTGAACATGCATGACCAGTGCCGTACCGGTATCCAGTATCACTGCCACTGGCTGCGTAGAACTACAAAATGACTGCGGCCCACTGCGGGGCATGGCATCATGGCATGTGCAGATCTGAGCCTGAGGATCAAGGACGCCGGAGGACTGCACGTCACTGTGACGTCAGACGTGCTGCATGGCAGCATTCATGCATAATATGCATGTGCAGTCGATCGAGTCCTTTAGATCCTACACGTATACACCAGGGAGTCGTAAAATACGACTCCCTGGTCTACACGGTAACTGTCATGTCAGTGCATTTCAAAACTATAGACGCGTAGGGTTTTTGAAATATTAAAATTAATTTGAAATTTTCAAATTTGGCTGGAACTTTTTGAGAATAGTTTTCGGAATATTGCTCAGGATCGCTCCACAATTATAGTTTCTAAAGGATTGGATAACAGACGCCCAATTTGGAAAAATGTATGCACAAAGTCACAGGATCACAGATTTTATGTGGTATAGATGCTGGCATAACGGTTTTCGCCTAGGTACGCGTCTAGACTATAGTTTTGAAATGGACTGTAGTGTATGTAATCAAGCACGCTCAGAAGGTCATGATGGCTGAATCTTGCCCGAGCCTGCAGCCCAAGGGCCGGCGTAGGCCCGAGGGCTGCAGGCAAGGGCAAGATTCAGGCACCATGCACCGTGACACAAAACTACACGCGGAACGTCCTGAGTTTTTTTAAGTTTTTTTTTTAAATTTTTGAAAGGGCTCCCTAGGTTACCGAGCTCGGCATGACTACATACATGCACAGAGCCTCAGAGCTCGTTACCGTAGCTCTGGACCAGGCCTACAATTGTAGCAGCTAGCGCAGGGAGCACAGACCAACACCACTCCCGATCCCTGCTCTGGACCAGGGAGTAGTACAATAGTCAATACGGTATTGTACTACTCCCTGCTCTGGACTGTAGCTCTTCCCAAGAGTATGAAAGGTTTCATTAATTTTGTACTCTGGCTCTTACCAAGAGTACATAAAATTTATCTACTCTTGCTCTTACCTATCAAAACTTCAGCCAAAACAAAAGAGAAACTCTCGATTGCAAGCATGCTAGTATCAGGGAGTTCGAGTAGCCACCCCCTGATTACAAGATAGAGTACGTACATAACCCCCAAGACTGTGCTACTGCAACTCCGCCAAGGGCTATGGTGTTGTCATGGCTGTTCCTCCAGTAGTAAAGAAGCTCCTGGAGCTTGTGTGCTCTTGACAATATCAGACGTATCCTGGACCTGCAGCGGACAAAAACCCCATTTGCTCCTGTACAAAGTAGCTCAAGGAAACACGCGTGATCATGCACATCCGGAAAAAGGGAGTCGTAGCATCTGCGGCACGAGATCATAATGGTATTACAGTACAATGGCGTGCCCGAAAAGATGTGCGCTTCGATCTTGACTTTGGAAGCTCTATGTGGTCCATGGTCTACCGGTATGGAACCAGAGATCGTGCGACATGCTGACCCCAAATGCTGCCAAGCTCAGAAATGCCACAAGAGGGCTAATGATAATTATTACGCAAGCAATAATGCATACATAAATCGGCACTGCCTAAAAAAGTGACTGACACAGGTGCGCCCTAGAGCGAACCCACAGTGCTTAGCATTACAGTTGCCCGTATCATATTCCTGTACGTTACGGCTCACTCATCTGAACAATGTGCAGAGGGTCTACAAACGGTCTCCATTCAAGCTGGTACATTACGTCACCAGATGACACACTTCTTATGAAGTTGTGTCGGGCAGACATCAGAAAACGTACGGATGGAGTTACTGTAAAGTCTGTATTTCACATGATCCTAAAGCTCACTCTGCTCTTCACATTCGTGTTCGTTCAGCTGATGAAATCGGCAACAGAAACCAAGTCAGAAAATGATCTCTATGCTGCCGCCTCCTTGAGATGATCTTTCTTGAGCAGGCCCATGAATGCACGCTTCTCAGCAGCCACTTGGAAGCGGCCATGGCCAAACTTGGAGGATGTATCTATGAATTTGAGGTTGATCTTCTCGCGTGACACCCGGCTGGTCTGAGCAAGGAGTGTCTTGCGGAGGGTTACAACACGCTTCTTTGGACCCATAATGCAGCCTTTGAGCATGATGAAGTCTTGTTTCACCTCTCCATAGTGAGGGAATCCACCCTACACACACATGAAGAACAATTCAAAAACTAGTCAGGCGTATGCAATAGCCAGAGCATGTGCTGTTCAGTGCACATCTACGTACTGATATGCGTGCTTCATCGAACAATACATGAACGCATTCTGGAGAAGATGAGTCGGTGAAATAATATAGTGACCACGAGTCAAGCAAATTGCAGAACACAGCAACAAATACAGGTGCCGTCCACCAGTTTACACCCTCCTTCTTTTTGGCGACAACTGTAGGTGAAAGTCGATACAAGACGAATTGACAGATATTATTTTAGAACAAGGGGATACTCACCATTGGTGTGATGCTCTTGTCTGTTAAATCAAAAGTTGTAGCAGCATTGTTCTTGATAATCTTGTTGCCATCTTGGTGATAACCCTGGCCAACACGATAGACCTGAGAAGCACACAGCCACATACAAGAAAAGAAGATATTCCTCAATGCCATATTCATGGTACATGTATATAGCAGTACTCTTAGGGCAGGGTCAGTATCAATTTTCGTCTGATGATCGATTCAGTTCGTGAAACTCAGAGTTACGAAACCGCAACTGCCCGTTCTTCTGTCTGTGTATTCCTCAATACAAAAAGGTAAAAGCAGCAAACACACGGGCGGAGCATACAACTTTCACAACAGTCATCCTCATGGAAGACTAATCAGGTACTGGAATTGTACAATTTCGACAGGGGATTTTGGCTGTTTGCCACAGGCACTATTAAATAGCTCACATTTATAATATATGTGCCAACAACTCAAACTACAGGCAAACGATCAAAACTTGATCACTAATTAAACAGTGTAAAAAGAATGTGTGCGTTCACAGTGGTACACTGGACTCAAGAAAGCAGAGATGAATGCTAACCTTCTTGTTGACTTCTGTGCGGTGATGGTATCCCTTTTGACCTGCTCTAGCCACGGAGAACTGCACTCGGCTAGGATGCCATGCACCAATACAGGCAACTTTGCGCAGACCCTTGTGCGTCTTGCGAGGAAGCTTCTTGCAGTGCCAACGTGAAGTGACACCTGACGAGAAGAAGTGAAAAAAAAGGAGACACAGGAATTGTGTTTGTGCCGAGCTAGGCTACGAGACCCAGGTAACGCAGGGTCAAGATGTGTACCACACTTGAGAATAGCACATGCGATGCTCCCAAAAACCATCAAAGAAAGAGGAGTAATACACAAGGCAAGATTGCATGCAACTTACCCTTGAATCCTTTACCACGGGTGACTCCTATCACATCAACCATCTCATCTTGGCCAAACACCTTGTTTACCGGCAGTTGTTTCTCAAGCCTCTCTCGGGCAAAGTCAACCTGACACGGGGAAAGAGCACAACATGAGAATAATAATTACCGTATGTCCGCACCTCTAAAGCCATGGAGGTATATTTGATTATAAAGCCAGTCTCAGTTATAAGGCCATGGGCTTCATAAATGAAATGACATTTGAAGTATGCTTTGTAAAAATGAAGGAATAAGTACTATAATAACAAACTTCCAGCCCAGCAGGAAGTGTGAACAACAGTGGATTTAGATTGAAATTTCTGTGTGAACTTTTGACTTTTATGGCATGGCGCAGTGGGCGAGTCATATTGCATCTAAATTAACTAGGAAAGCAGCGGTGTTTCAAATATAAGGCCATGGCTTTAAAGGCGCTGCCATACGGTATATAAAAAGGAAATGGTGGGTCATGAAAACTTGCAGTGGGGTGAATTTCACAATGTATCATGGCGCGACATAAATCAGAACAGAAACGTACTCCAGGCCAACAAGCGTACCTTGTCTGCAATGGAGCCACCATTGATTTGGATTTCCATCAAGTGTGCCTTCTTCTGGGAGATCGGAACAAGTTTGATCTAACAGGGCAAGAAACAGAGCACATCACATAGAACAGGCACACTATTTCAATATCCAGTTCACTTTTCACAAGAGAGCACTTGTAGTACTGACACAACAGATACATTCGTTCAATATCAATTGGAGAAACTGATGCGGAGCAACATGTACCATAATGTTGCGTATTAAAGCCAGGCTTCTTCCAGTAGAAGCCGATGTCAGGGCTAGGCTTCAATTCACATCTGGCTTATATTCAAACCTGGCATTTCTATGCGTGTCAGCACTAAACAAGGCTTATGTGCCGACAGTGTATCTTGAAAATCAGGCTTGTATTGAAAACAGGCTTCTATATGAGACGGGCTTTAACACAAGACACTACGGTATGTGCAAAACCAACCAAGTACTTCTTGTGGTATGATGTATCGTCGGGCCAGGGCAAGTACGGACGACTTCAAACAGCTCACAAGAAAATCAAACACTTTTTCGCCACACATGCAGAACAGATACATTGCTGCCAAGTATTCTGATTCATCACCCAGTCCGAAAAGTTCTGAAAAGTTAACCAGACATGAAAAAGAATTTCTTCGATTTCAACAACAAACCGCAGGTTAATATTGAATGTACGCGTAGTCCGGTAGGGTTGAATGAAACTGTACTACACGAGGAAGACTGTCTATATTTATCAGGCATCTGGAGGGGTCGGATTTTGGGCAGAAACCTATTGGCAGCACTACAGGATTAGTCCTGGTACTTCATTTACCTGTGTGTGAGCAATAAGACGAATAACTTTGCAGTATTTCTTCATCTTGTTGAAGTCTTGCTCAATACTGGCCTTTCCTTCGTCGGATGTCCAGCGCTGGCTTGCTTTACAGAAGGCCTTTTGTTTGGACTTACACCTTTACGATGGCAACGGGACAAGTTGTGTGCATGCGCCAGAGGACAGCCACAAGACGCGGACAAAACACAGATGAAGTGCCAATCTCATCACACATGCAGCATACGCTAGCACGGTGAGCGGAGATGGACAGCTTCTGACAGTGTGTTCCAAACTCATCAACTGCACTGTGACCAACGAGTTGAGAGGAGTTGGGTAACTAATCATACCACACCAGAACAGCCAAAACAGGTCAGGCGATTGAAATCCAAAATTCACACAAACACCAAATTCCATTGAAAAAAGCAAGCAAACAGGGAACATTTCAATGCCCACAAGGAGATAAGAGTGAGACGGCCCACCGAAAGAATAGCATACCAGTTTTTGTAGAAGCGACGGCGGCATTCTTCGCTCAGGTGCTCTGCCCACACAGTCTTGAATGTCCGCAAGCCGCGTGGCGTCTCAATGTACCCAACACATCCGACAGCAACCATAGGTGGGGCTTCAATGATGGTGACTGCCTCTACAACTTCCTTCTTGTGATTCCCTAATACAAGAAAAGATGAAGCAACAAGAAGAGTGACAAGATAATCATTGGTTAGGGATGCTGACCCCTTCAAAGCTACAGTCCATTCAGAAAAAGATGGACTTCTAGCTTTTGGCCATAAACGGGTCAAACTTTGAGTTTTTTTAGAATTTTTTTCTGCCATCCCCTAGGGAATCCTCTTCCAATTATGTTTCTGAAGTTTTTTTGTCCAAAAAGTAAGCCATAGCAAGAATAGGATTTCGGCAAAGTTCGCAGCACTGCACTGTGTACGATGAAATCACGGAAAATCGCCAAATACGGGAGCTCGCCAAAGCCAGGGCCCACCTTTTTATGAATGGACTGTAGTTTTGACCCTCATTTAAGTAATACAAAATCCATGATATTACATAGGTTTGCTGTTCGCTGTTGGATGCTCCACTATTTAGCAAGGGTATTTTACTATTTTCGGGCTTGTATACTCTTGGCAGAATACAGCAAAACAGCACTGATGATTCGGAAAAAAGAGAGAAAGAAAAACTGGGGTGATACACAGTACATGTATACCAAGGTTATGCGAATCATATCGGCCAAGTTTTGTGTTGAGTAACAAACCTATGCTTGGGATGCAACTCAACACAAAACAGCTGTATATGAAGACACTTGTATTGCCTCCATAGCAAACAATGGCAAGGATACCAGCTGCAATAGTAGCATTGATATCCATCCATAATTTTATCTACAGTGCTACAGTGACACATTATCATGAAAACAACTGGCTGACCCAAAATAATTAATCACAAGCATGCAACTGTTCATTTCAAATGCATAGCATGCAGCGCAGGGGAACACGTGGGTTTACGCATGCATGCACGCACACAAAATACTCAACTCACTGGAACCAGGCTTCTCCACCTCCCGAACGATGTGAGTCATGCCAGCCTTGTAACCAGCGAAAGCTGTAAGATGGCAAGGTTGAGCGGCATCATCACGAGGAAAGCTCTTAACTTTTCCACGATGGCGGCTCGCTCGCTTGCGTGGCAAGAAGCCCAGTGAGCCATGGCGGGGAGCCTCAAATTTTCTATGCGACTGATGAACGAAGAGAGACATGGAAAAGCGCAATTGTAACTACGATCCAAACAAAAGACCATTTTCCATGCCCTCTCACTTACCATTGTGTAAAGATAACTGTACGGCGACAAGAACGATGAGCAACGAGAGAAAAGGTACAGAAACTTCAAAGTAGCCCTGAAAATGCGAAACAAAGCACACTGCGTGCACCAGATCAGCAGACACCGCGGCACAAAAAAATCGGCGAAGACACCCGAACCCGGCCATGGCCCGGACAGATCCTGCCGGCTTTCGGCAAAATATCGAAGAATTATTTAAAAAGCGGAAATTGCCGGCAAAATCGGAGCAAAATATCGAGATTTTGGGTAAAATCGATGCCTGATGTACCGGTACTTGGATTTCCTTGTTTCTTACCTGTTCAGCATGATACCAAGAGTAGATAAACAGCTTCTGACAGTGTTATGTGTTCCAAACTCATCAACTGCACTGTGACCAGCGAGTTGAGAGGAGTTGGGTGACTAATCATACCACACCGGAACAGCCAAAACAGGTCAGGCGATTGAAATCCAAAAATTAATTGTTTATCTACTCTTGATGACACACTGCCAAGGATGAGATAATGTCACCGAAATATGGGCTGTGTGGATCTACTTGTATTATAATGTAATCAACGTGCAACATGGTTTTGAAGAGCCCAGGTACACGTGTGTGAAAGTCACACTGAAAACCAGGGAGTAGTATAGACTAGGCCTCAGTAGTATAGACGTGTATCCTGTGCCCGGTGGTAAAATTCTAGCCAAGGCCCGGCCATTATTATTCACTCTTCGGTGCATTGTCACTGGCAGTCTTTGGCACCCGGCAGTGTTGCCTATAGAGGACTTTCCAATGAGTCATACCGTGCGGCCTATGAGGATTCGGGCCAAAGATCATCGAGTTCACCACCGATCACCGGACTTGAAACGGAGCTTGGGTGGCAAAAAAAGAAGACTGCACTGGAAGGAAACAGTGTTTTTCGAAAGCAGTTCCATTTTGCATACTGTATAGTTTGAGAATACCAAAGGGCTGCTCGCGATCGGATGTTCCCACACCTGGATCGTCTTTGAGTTGTTATCGTTTTCCCTACGATGGAGAACGACGGAACCAGTGGATGACGGACACACGACTCGAGAACTTCGCTCCTGATGCAAATACTTCGAAGTACACGAATATTGTTCCATCACTTCGTTGGCGAAGAGAAAAGTCATGATCATCCCCTGTCACCCCAGTACGTATCGAACTAACCAACCAACTTGTTCAGCTCATTTGTGGCAGCACCAGTAAAGGCGGAAACACGGAGATGATTCCGAACACTATCAACTTACTTAGTTTGTTGGGGTGCAAGGTATAGCTGGAGTTTGATGATTGATAGTGCTGATGCTGATGGTAATGACTAATGTACCCAGCTCTATACACGTACCTCTACATGACTGGTGGTGCTAGCTATTCTAGTACTGGCCCTGGGTGCAACTCATCATCTCTTCCATGCCAGTGTGTATGCCTCATGTTCTGCACAACGTGTATTTCCTTTGTCATGGATAAATACTCTGATCGTCCTACTTGCGCAATCTTCTTCTGCTTCCCACTTGGTTGCTGCGCTGTGCAGTTCTTCATCTGCTGCGGCACATACTAGTATACCTCATCTTCTGTCTTTCTGGTCAATTAGGTACAGTAAATAGTGGATATAACGTGCCCCTTTGATTTTCGATAATTTATCACTATATCCGGTGCATCACTATGCATGTATGACCACACATGGCACATGACTGGGCATGAAATGATGCGTACACGCTGGAAAAAGTATGAAATGCAGCCACGTGTACATAAGGCTGCGTACAGCATGCAGGGAAGAATTTTCTCTCACTCATGTCTGCTGCCAGGTGCATCCAGGCAACACTGGATCAGTTTTGGAAGAAGTGAACTTTATTGGAAGAACACTTGTTTTTGTGATCATCACTCTTGATCATTATACGCGATATTTTCCTGTACATTTGATATGGTTTGCTTCCTGAAGCCCATCACAATAAGCGATATATCGGTATAGCCGATAATATTGTGTATAGTGATACTTTAGCTGCATTTTTTTCTGATTTGATTAAAATTTTTGATTTTGGCGAGTTCTATCATTATAGCCGGTATATCGTTACACCCGGTCACTTTATAAACGATACTCACTGTACATGGATTCAGCTTCTTGATCTTCTTGTGGTGAGGATCATCTTGATCTTACTTCTTGTGTAACTCTTGCAAAGGCAGTAATGGAGGACACTCTACCGGTAATCAGCAACTGCTTATGGAGAATGCCAGGTCGAGGGACGACGAGGAAAAAACAATTGCTGTATTGGATGTGCATTCATCAGTGTGTTTTAAGATCAGGACAACTAAGTTTGCCTCTACACCAACTGTTTGGCTACATAGGAGCAATGATGATGATGGCCGTGTTTGACTTTGTCAGCTTTCGTGCTACCAGCCACCGCATGTCAACATTGTCATACTCGTACTGATAAGGAAGAAAAACCCACACACGCACGCACACATACACACACACACACACACACACACACACACATGGATACACTGACAGGCATGCAAAGCAAGAGAGGCAGAGAGAGAGAGAGAGAGTCAGGCAGCGAAAGAGAAGTGAGACGCGAACATCTGGCGACAGCCGACCATTGGTTTCCGCCGTGAAGCTTTGGAACACCCTGCCACAGGAACTCACGTCCGCTCGTCGTCCAACCCCGTTTAAAAGATTGCTGAAAGTGTTTTTCTACGGTTAATATGGCCGAATAGCACCTCCCTCTGGCATAGGTCCTCATCTTCCTATTTCTCCCTGATTGTTACTTCGTTCGAACTTGACTTGTAATTACCGGTACAAATACTTCCTTTTGACTGTTTTCTCATTTTCGCAAGTGAAGCTTTATCGAGCTACACTTTTTATTCTATCGCCATCATAATATTGGGCATCAATGCCCGTTTGGTTTGCGATGTAAAATAAAACTTCAAACAATCAAACAAACAAAGACTACTTGTAGGTTATGGGCACGGTGCTCCAATTTCTGCCCAGCTGAAGTAAAATCCATGTACACTATTTTCGTGTAGTGTTCATTGACGGTGCCAGCCACTGGTGAGTGACCCAGTGGTGTAGGTGTTGACATTCAGCACACATCACATTTCAGTCTCCAACGTAAATTCAGTCAAAACAACACTGCACTGCAGCAACATGGGAACATGCTTCTCCCAGGCCCACCATGCAAGTGCAGTGTGCGCCAAGAACAATTCCAGGTAATTCAGCAGCTACCCAAGGATGGATAGGTTCGGCAAAAACACTCCGCGAGTGCCTGACGTTTGCAAACGTATTTTGTTGACAGTTGTTGTTTCTTCCTTCGATTGGGCAAGACACCATAATGTGCCAACCCAGCCAGCAATGAGACACATGCATTTGTATCCATCAGGGCTATTGTAAGACTTTAGAGAGTCCTTTGCATATGTGCTGGGGACATTCACTAAATATTTAGAGAGGCCTGGATACCCAACGCAGGGGGATTGGCTGAAAGGTCTTCGTCCATAGGTAAATATGGATCAATGTACTGGGCCCACGGATTCTGTCAATCTTCTCGCGGCAACGCCTCTTCAAGGCTGGAATAAACAGTAGAGTAACTGCGGCTAGTAATCCTCGCGACTTACCGAAACTATTCACCACATCAAAGAAAAGCAAAAGTGCTTCACCACTGCGACGGCCTGCAACATCATTTTCAACCGTACACCGAACAACACATTTGATTCTCTTTTTGCCACCCAAGCACATTTTACCGGAGGACACGGACTTGTCTTATGGGTGATCTTTGGGTAGACACCGGGAAGGCGCCAAAAAGGTGATGTAATGGAAAGTCCTCTATAGATTCACGCACCACTGCGACACCTGGCCAGCATCCAAAGTATACGTAGCAGATCCAAGACCGGGGTTTGGCGAAACCCAGGCTTGGGACTCGACATACAACTTTTTAAACTGGGATATCTTGTGGACAAGTTGAAATCCGGCGTTGAGAAGTCAAGCGGCCACTGGGTGCTGGCCTTGCAAACACGAGCACTGCCGGTTCATTTTACAGTGCATACATGTACGTGAACTACAGTGTGTGTGTGTGTCTGTGCAGGTCCTCCAAACTCCTCAGCTTTCCGGCATCCGCTGTTTCCACTTGAAGTCAGCAGATAGAATAACGCTACCCACTAGGCTGGTCCTCAGTCGTCCTCTCCAACCTTTGAGGTCCTTGCTAGCGTAATAGTTGACCATAGCTTGGACGGCTGGTGTGCTATCGGACAGTCGGAGGACCCGACCGAATAGCTTCCATCGCAATGATGGTGTATCTAATCTCTTGGCTTTTGCATCGCGTGTATATGCGCTATTCGATATTGTCTGAGGCCACCTGATGCCTACATGCAAAAGGGATCTCAGTTGACGACGATGGAAAGAGTCCTGTCGCTCCGGAGCTATCTTGGTAATTGCCCACGTGCCGGAGTTGTCACTTTGAAATCAGTACAGGGATGATAAAAATTAAAAGCTTGGTATGGCCGTAGGCGAAGCTTTTTGCTGATTTCGGCTGGTTGCATTTCCACATGTTCCACAGGCCCCGGAAGGCAGCTGTCACCAGTTGCTCCCTCCTCAGTACACCCTCTCCGCCACCAATCAGACTTCCAAGTTTTCGTGTTCTAGATTAGCCTCCATTCTTCTTCTGTTGCGATCATTGAGTCTACAATGTTTGTAGTGATTTCCATGTACACCAGTCAAGTACTCCGTTTTGTCATGGTTCAATGCTGAGCGGCCATTGCACTACGGTAGAACTTACCGTCGTTTCTAGTTGAGAGAGCCACCACCCGGACTGGTGCTTACAAAATCGGTGTCATCAGCATAGATGAGCTCATATGATCATGTGGAAGGTTAAAGGGGAGGTTAAAGGGGAAGTATACCCTAAAATCAAATTTTCACCAGTTGTAGTCTTCTGGGTGCTGAGTCGAATGGTCTTGGTCCGAGGAAGCTGCGACGCTCCCTTCCTACTTGAATCCCAATCGAACTCGCGCACTTCCACCGAAACTGGGTGACTGCGCCCTACTAGATGGGGATTTGTATGCAAAATGTCACTAAAAGCGCCATTTCGTTCTTATAAAAGCACGGATGACCGCGATTGGCCCATATGTTGTAGTCTTTTGGACGCTGAGTCGACTGGTTTTGGTCCGAAAAGGCTGCGATGCAGCGTTCCTCCTTTATTCCCAATCGAACATGGTTGAAGAAGCGGTCACGTGCTCCTGCGTACACCAGTCACCTGGTCACCGTGCCTGCAGGGTACAACTTACTAGCCTGTTTGACCTTTTTTGGGTGCAGTCCTGTCACTCGAGTTGAACTCGAGTTGAACCTTGGTGTGAAAGTTGTCACCTGCTGGCGCGGTGACCAGGTGATTTGGGCACCCAGGAGCACGTGACCGCTTGTTCAACCATGTTCGATTGGGAATAAAGGAGGAACGCTGCATCGCAGCCTTTTCGGACCAAAACCAGTCGACTCAGCGTCCAAAAGACTACAACATATGGGCCAATCGCGGTCATCCGTGCTTTTATAAGAACGAAATGGCGCTTTTAGTGACATTTTGCATACAAATCCCCATCTAGTAGGGCGCAGTCACCCAGTTTCGGTGGAAGTGCGCGAGTTCGATTGGGATTCAAGTAGGAAGGGAGCGTCGCAGCTTCCTCGGACCAAGACCATTCGACTCAGCACCCAGAAGACTACAACTGGTGAAAATTTGATTTTAGGGTATACTTCCCCTGGCAAAAACTAAAATTTCACCAGTTGTAGTCTTCGGGGTGCTGAGTCGAATGGTCTTGGTCCGAGAAAGCTGAGACGCTCCTTTCCTACTTGAATCCCAATCGAACTCGCGCACTTCCACCGAAACTGGGTGACTGCGCCCTACGAGATGGGGATTTGTATGCAAAATGTCACTAAAAGCGCCATTTTGTTCTTATAAAAGCACGGATGACCGCGATTGGCCCATATGTTGTAGTCTTTTGGACGCTGAATCGACTGGTTTTGGTCCGAAAAGGCTGCGATGCAGCGTTCCTCCTTTATTCCCAATCGAACATGGTTGAAGAAGCGGTCACGTGCTGCTGGGTGCCAAAATCACCTGGTCACCACGCCAGCAGGCGACAACTTTCACACCAAGGTTCAACTCGAGTGACAGGACTGCACCCAAAAAAGGTCAAAACAGGCTGTAAGTTGTACCCTGCAGGCACGGTGACCAGGTGACTGGTGTACGCAGGAGCACGTGACCGCTTCTTCAACCATGTTCGATTGGGAATTAGGGGCGAACGCTGCATCGCAGCCTTTTCGGACCAAAACCAGTCGACTCAGCGTCCAAAAGACTACAACATATGGGCCAATCGCGGTCATCCGTGCTTTTAGAAGAACGAAATGGCGCTTTTAGTGACATTTTGCATACAAATCCCCATCTCGTAGGGCGCAGTCACCCAGTTTCGGTGGAAGTGCGCGAGTTCGATTGGGATTCAAGTAGGAAGGGAGCGTCTCAGCTTTCTCGGACCAAGACCATTCGACTCAGCACCCCGAAGACTACAACTGGTGAAATTTTAATTTTTGCCTTAACTTCCCCTTTAATAATTATCAGCACGGGGCCTGGGAGCTGCTTCTCCTTGGCAGTTGTCATAATAATAACTGCTGCCAGATATACACGGTAAAGGGTGCCAGTGACAAGGAGTCATCCTGCGGCGCGCCAATTGCTGTCTGAAGTATTGGGGACGATGATGACGTTCTCCCAAAGCGGCCATGGAGATTTGTTTCCGAGAGTAGACATCGCATCAGACGTAGTTCGTCCTCGTCCACAACCTCCTTCAGCACACTCATCAGCTGATCACACCCGATAGCGTCAAACGCTTTTGATAGATCGATTCCGAGGATGTGAATCATCCCAATCATCGGAAATAAAAGCGTTGGGCTTTGGCAGCCAGCCATGTTTACGCCCATGACTGTGATTTGGCATTGACCATCCACACCGGAAGCCGCTATGTGTCTCAGCAAGAAACTCCTCCACTTTCGGTCTGATCCTTGTGAGGGTTATGAGCAACAGTGCTTTCCTGAGTTTTGTAAGTTAGTTAGTAGCATTATCAGACCATGCGCCAGAGATTGGACGATGGAAGAGGTTTATCGCCGGGCTTCTGAAGTGGGATAAGAATTCCGCCGCCTACTTCCACTGACTGGTATGACGACTAAATAGTAAATTATGAACACTGAGGAAAGGGAATGCACTACACTGTGCAACTGTTATAAACGCTAGTTCAAGTAGTTGACTGTTCCATCACTCCGATCCGGGAGAAAAACGATGAACAGATACCGATGTTTTGACACAGACACAGACACAGATGTTCTGCTACTCCCTGATATGATACAATTTACGAACACTTTGCAGTCTGCTGTCCATGTCTGAGTGAGCTTTTGCCATCAAGCACCCTACAATGTAGGCTATGGCAGTATGGGCCTAAAGTTAGCCGGCACGCGCACATCTACCATTCTGGGCTAAACAATTACGGACGACCCAACAACATAGCAACATGTCAACAGCCCACGCGCGCTGGGTTACAACACTGAGTAATCCGCAAAGTGCAGTATACTAGTACATGACATTGTGTACATGTGCAAGATCTGCAGGCTGAAACTGGCAACTGAACAAACAAGGAAATCACAACACATACGACGTCTTGGCACCAGAGCACGTTACGTCGTTGTGCCAAACCATTCCTGGCTGGACGACATCTAGTATCTAACCACACTTTTGACTGTTTAATACCAAGAGTAGATAAACATTAATTTTTGTTTATCTACTCTTGCCAGCGCGGATCCAGCGATCTCTAGAGAGTAGAGGGGGGTTCCAGACTCAAAAGTTGAATGCTTGTAGCTCAGTTGGATACATGTAGATCTACATGGACGCGAGTATGGTTGCCAGTAGTGGGCAGTAGTACAAATACGAAATTTAGGGGGTTCCGCGGAACCCCTCCTGGATCCGCCCCTGCTTACTGACAGTCTGTTACAGTTACTACTACCAAGAGTACATAACCACTGGGTTATGTACTCTTGCTACTACTCTGCTGCTCTCGCCATGTTATTATGTAGATCTACATGACTGTGCCATCGCTGCACAGTAGCGTACATCACTACTACATGGCAAGTCATTGTACAATCATCATGATCATAATCATTGTACACTGTCGACATACACCACCGAAATCGGGGACTAGGGAGTACTGTAGGAGGAGTTACTGGACGGCCCCTTGTTTACTTTCAAAGTTCAAATCAGCGAGCAGTAAAACATCCGTCCTTGCTCCAAATCATTCTCCCTTTCTCTTCAGATGGATAAAGTGATTACTAATTATTTTACTAGTATTTCCACGCCACCCCACACCTCGGCGGCGTGTGGAGTTAGTGTTTAGTAGATAATAGCGGACGACCGTTCAACAAGTATCGGTTGCAGGGATCATTACGTACTGGCTAGCCTCGATGCAGAAATGACGGTGACCCAAGCAAGGTAAAGTATAGATCTTCTGCGTCCTAGCGTTTGGGGAGTTCTTGGGTAGATGCCGAGAGACCAAAATTAATCTGCTTGCCTTGCGCCGTTTATTGCGGTCTACTAGTATTCTGGAGGAAGCAGTTCGAATGTTCAAAACCTGCCGATAAACCGTATACCTAGCGCCTGCTCGCGCGACGCACAGCAGAGCTAGAGTAGAGATCATACCGATTAGATGGGAGATGAGCATCTTGAGAGACAAGAGACTTCTTACTCTTACTAGTCTGAGGGGGTGTAGTGCGGACAACGACTGGGGGACAGAGTGCGGTCATGAATGGGAGAACTCGAGGACTATTGCAGGCCGCAATGCCTCGAGGACACAGTTCGTTGCAACTCGGCCACTGGCGTTTGTATGAAAACAAAGATATCAATCGGCACTCGAGAGATAACTGTGGCGGCGGCGAGGCGCTGAATGAAGCGTGCGACTGTAATTCAGGACCCCATACTCCGAACACCATGGTCGCGTTCGATTTCACACATGAACACCCGATGACCCATGGACCAGAAGTGCAATGAACATAATCTTTTGCAATGCAACATACGAAGTCTTCATTTTGTGTCCGAAGTCACTATTATTAATTTTGTATTCATCAGTTTGAGGGAATGGAAAGGGAAAAGTCCGTAGAAAACATTGTATAGCCAGTATCAGCTCAGCTCCCACTACCAGCAGTAATCACAGGCCAGACAGGATATGCAGCACATTCACCACTCATCCAGTGCCATTGCCACACACCTCTTGTATCACCAGTAGATCTACTACTAGTGGCGTTTGCCGGTCGTGATACAGGGGCGTCACAGGGTGGGTGGGAGTGGTACGACCGGGGGTCGGGGTGTCCCCCGGAGAAAACATAAGGATTTTTCGGCTGACAGGGCACGTTTTAGCACTCTACAGCCGCAAAGGAGGGTTCCCTAGCACGTATTAGACAACCCCACTCCAGCTCCAAAAACAATTTTACATACTTCCCATGGATTTTTTTACATCGTATATAGCCAGGTACGGCCAAGCAAGGCAAAAGGAACCCATTACCCTTGAAAAAATCGCAACATCCGAAGTACAAGGGTGCTGCGCGTTCTAGCGCCAGCCGCAGATCAGCTCTGTTTCCATCAAGTTTGCAGTGAATGCGTTCGTGAGGAATCCATCGTCTGGTTGTCTCTACCCGTGACTCCAACCGCCTATCGTAATGGATAGCCGCCTGGAGTCTTGGGCAATAGCTAGTTGCTAGTGCTAGGCATCAAGTCTCCTTGCAATGAAAGTTGCGATGTTTTGTACAAGTCTGAAGATCCTTGAATTCTTTTATTGCTTTTTTGGATGAATTGGGTGGACCATCCTGGACGAAAAGTGGTACGACCATGGTCGTAGTGGTTGTACCGTGTGTGACGCCCCTGTGATAGATCCTCACTGTACAGCTGGTACGGATGGGGGGGGGGGGGGGGGGGGCATCTGCAAATCAGTGCAAAATGTGATTCGGTATTCTATGGTCTATTGTTGATAATCATGATGTGCGCAGGCCTCTAAAACGCTATGTGGTGGTGCACCCATACACAGCTGCACAGGACGATGAGCTGTCGCTCGACAAGGTATGTGCGTACATTGGAGCAGCCAGTCCGTGCGGACACCAAGAAGAGAAGTGACCAACTGGACACAATGTCGATAATGCAGCACAACACTTTGAAGGTCTTTGGGAAATCTGTATGCAATAAATGAATGCCACATGAGCACGCTGAACATGACCTGAACTGCAGGTGCTGAGCTGACACAAGGTTGAATAGTATATGGGCTCCAGTTTCTCTCGAATACATTGGAGCATTGGCTGAGAAAGTGCCAAGCCCTTTTAATTAAAATTCATGTGAAGAAGGCCACAGTGCCAGTTGCTGAAGCACTTGAAGAAGACCCGTTCGTGACGGTGCCAATGGCCGTTTGGGAATGGTTCCTTCAAACACAAGGCACCCTGTCAGCATGCCGGTTACTACATTGCTGTTACTGCTGTTGCGTTCTTACAGGGAGATGCTATCATGGTGGCCGAGACATTTCCTGACTCCTGGATGAAAGGAATTCGTCTGCGTGATATGAGGGTAAGGCCAGTGCAAACTGCAAAGCAAAGCTGACACACAGCGACTGCATCACTTCTGACACTACGTGAAGAAGACACACAGAAAAGCACTCTGTTTCAGCGGCGGCTAAGCAACAACTAACGCTAAAGGGCTGTCATCCTTGTCAACTTATTTCCTCATGTGATATTGTATTGTACAATGATGTCAGTATGTAGGAATGGCAGAAATCCACACCATAAGTGGAAAAATGCTACGGAGGTATAGCACTCAACATGCGATTCTTATCATGTGAACGTATTCAGACAGGTGTATAAATATCATGAGGACATGAAGGTGATACTTCTAGGGATATTGTGCAATGGCACTAACGAACTCACAGGGACAATATCATCACAGTACAGTCAGTGAGTTTGAATGAAAAGACCACCAAACACTCACATTGGTGCACATTCCCCGCTGCCTTGCAAAAGTCCCAGCCCCCATTGGTTATCCCTTGCAAACTTCCACACAGAAAAGAGTGTTGCATGATTGTACTGCTCTCTGTTTTGGTTTTGTATGACTCCGTTCACACCTTTTTTTGGCGCTATATTCATACCTCTGGCTTCGAGTCACACCTTTCACTTAATCATACTGCACTGGCACTGTTGAAAGTGATTCTTTTGCCTGCACAGCTACATGCTGACAACATTTTATAGTCAGTCTCTGATCGATAAGTTAGTCTGATAGCAGCTCACCATGCCAGCCGCATGCAGTTGGAGAAGAGCTGCCTTAGCTGTTTCAAAGCAAGTCCTATCCAGCGAAGTCCCCAAGCGGTGTCCTTGGGCATTGACTCTGGACTCGGGATATCCCCTTTCCTATAGGGCAGTAGTGTTGTAGAAAGCCACCATAGCGGCGGCTCAAGGTAGTGGCTATTTTGTGGGTTTTTCAAACCGCAGATTGGCTTCTTTCCAGGCAACTTTGTCAAGCCTCTTCCTGTGACAAGGTAAGGCTAACATTGGCGTTGATTACTCGTCTATGACCCTAACGGCCTAGTCTGGCCCTGCATTGATTATGCAATGTATTTATTGTATATCAATTATCATGGAGGCGGGAAAGAAATATATCGGATCATTAACCCTTTATTACCGGCCTGCAGACTTTCGATCATATATGATCGAAAGTCTGCAGGCCAGTAATATCTTCGTAACTCCATCATTTCTTGTGCGAATTCAACAATCGAAAGGTCTATTTGGTAGCGGAAACTCCAAGCTATCCAATGCAACAATCGCCGAAGAGTTACGATGTTGGACACCAGAGATATCGCGCGCCGTATTCTCATCTCGGCAAATTCAAATTTTTGATCGATCACGTCGCCATTTTTTGGGGAAATCCCTTTTCGTGTGCTCTTTGAGCGACTAAGCACATGATAATGACGTAGTCGGCTGAAGTTTGAATCGTCTCAAACAAATTTGAGCGTTCTACGATGAAGGAGAGTGGAATGGCGTTGATGGAACGAATTTGCTTGCATTTCACGCTTGGAGACGACTTTGCTGTGTTACCGCGCCTGATTTGTGGCGACTGGATAATGGAGCTTGGTACCCTGGCGTTGCGCTCGCCAAGAGCTTTCCAACGAGCCCTAGATTGTGCAAATCAAGTGAAGGAGACCAAAGTTATGACCTGGTGAAGTTGGAAATTGTGCTGAAATTCGTAATTCTGGTGCAGGCTGTGCAAGTAATCCGGTAATAAAGGGTTAAGTTACGGTGAATAAAAGGAGCGCTCAGTGTGAGTTGACCCCCCCCCCCCCCCACACACACTCATGTACCCACCGCAGATCCATGACCGGAAGAGCTCCGATGCCACCCCAAATCCTGAACCCTAAATTAGACCACACAAGGGCAGCGAGAGCCGCTCGAACTACCACCGCATTATGTCGTCACGATCTCAAGCCAGTAACTGGGGTGCTCACAACCAAGTTAGTTTCGTGCAAAACGAATGCCGTACGTATGGTGTGTGCTTGCGTGTGTGCATGCGTGCTTGCGTGTGTCCAGCACTGGAGAGATTGTGGAAAGCAAAAGATGTCAGGTGTGCAAGGTAAGTTGAACTCGCATAAAGTTAGCCTCAGGCACCACACAGTCTGATTATTCAAGACCACATGATGCAGGCTGTTTTTGAGGTGGCAGTTGAATCTTCAAGGACATCGCTACACTGCATTTTCGCCACGTGCCCGTCTATGTGCTGACACTGGATTCATGTACTTCAGAAGTACTTCACAATATGCGGCTTGCATTCTCCTGCCCAGCATTCCCACCAATCTCCTCGGCCCAAACACTATGCTGAGTAATAGACCCTGTACTTCTGCTGTGGGAGGCTCCGGAGGTTTTTGTGACAATGGTCGCGGTTCTCATCTTTAGAACCATGCCTCAGTAATCATCTATGTTTAGGGGGACACTTGAACTTAACCCTTTACCGGCAAGTGCATTTTGTATATGAAATCCATAACATTGAGAAGGATGCCAATAACTCACAACGAGGGCACATTTTGTATGCGCAAGTTATGTTTTCTTGGAAGTCTGGTACTACTTCTTGATCATGGAAAACATTATTTTCACATACCTCAAACATACGCTGCTAAATTGGCACCTATACGTCTAAACACGGAAATTGTACATACTAATGCAAATCGTCAGATTCCGACATTGACATGATACTGCCAAAACAAGTCGACTTCGGAGCGGAAACGAACGCCATAGCCATCACAGACTTCAGTGGCCGTGCCTCGCTCGCAATTGAGAGCAGCATCGCCCCAGAATCGCTGTCTGATGGCTCCGTAAGGTCGTGCGCAAGTCGCGCTGCGCTGCCGTCATTCAGGTACGTAGAAAGTCGATGGCCTGAAATTCCGTCTCTCAGGGGAGACTGTCGACACGGGCATCACGCTCCATGGCTTCCCCACCATAAGCACCATCAGATTCTTCCAGGTACATCACGACGACATCGTCTTCAGCGGCTGGAGCTCCCGATATCTGCGTGAGATTTTACTTGGCGTGCGCTCCGCAATTTGAAATTCGCTTGCATCGGCGGCTGGAACGAAGTATTTATCTATCTGTCCTCGGTCCCAGAGCGAAGGTCTGCTAGGTCTTCGTCGGAGAAGTCATCTGAGGACGAAAGGAACTCACTGCGCAAGAGGAAATGCACCTGACGACGTTTTTGACGGAGGCAGATTGCATTGTCGGCGCGCGTGTATTTCCGTAAGTTTTCGATCGCGCAGTTCTCAATGAAATCCAATGGGACACGCGCAGATCTCTTCAGCTACGGATAGGATCGTACCCAGGCTGTGTGAGGGCCACGGGAAATCCCCGTGGGCTGATGCTTCCTGTCATACCAGGCATGGTTTTAGTATGCATGTCGAAGTACGGAGCTGCCGGTAAAGGGTTAACCCCTGGTGTATATTGCACTATGGACGCACACTGACCATGAAGTTATCCAACGCTCTTCCACTGCAGGAAATCCTGACCAGCGAGATGTCGTATGGACGGTTTCTATGGCAACTGGAGGAGGTAATGGGTGTTGTCATCTTACTGTGTGGGGTGTTCATCTTGCAGCCTGAGGCGTTTCCCAATTTGAGGTATTCTTTTGAAACCAGTCCCGGTTGTTTATGCATCAATGCGTTCTAAGATGCGCGTAATCTTTTAAGGCGCATGCACCACAAAACTTAAAAGTTTTGTGGTGCATGCGCCGTAACAGATGCAGGAGAAAGTATTTGCACGCACTCACGAACAGTTCATGTCTCCCCGCACACAGTTCTGGAGTGCACCGGCCAGTCAGCAGTACAATGGTATGGAATACGACATACACTGTATGTACAGCAATTCATACTGCTGTGATCCGTATTTCATTTTGTCAAGTTGCACGTGCACAGTCATGCATTGTGTGTGTATAAACAAGAATCTAGAGTTTGCAATGCTCCGGCAGTAAAAATACTAAGCCCCTGTATATGTGTTGCATCACGGTTTTGTGCAGGCCTTTGCAGAGCCATTGAAAACCAGTGGAGCAATCACGCCTGAAGAATACTCGAAGATATTCGGAAATACACAGGTACGCCATCCGAGACTGGAATGATCCATTCTGACCATGCATTTTTTGCCAACTGATGCTTTCTAGACATCACCGAATTTGGCATAGAGCTCCCTCTACTGATGCTATGGTGATACCTGCCGTCTAAGACGACCGCTCAAGGGACCTTCAAAGTGTGGTCTCTGTAACCAGGTGATCTCCTTATCTAGTGTCATTTGACTGGAAATAGCATCCCTTGGTCCTGGCTGCAGTGGTCTTCAGGGACAGGTGGTTGCCTTATCCGAGTGGTCTTCAGGGACAGGTGGTTGCCTTATCCGAGTGGTCGCCTTGACAGGTTTACTGTAATTATATTCTCCGAAACAATTGGCAGGCACCAACATTAGAAGGCATTCGTAAAAAGAAGAGTATTTTTGGGAGTTCAGTCGAGAGCCCTCAATGCACCAGTACATGTAGATGACAGTGACCACCGCCGGTGTCTGAGCAAGGAGGTATTCTTTCTCGGTCTATGTTGTTCTCTACCTCCTTCCCCTGCTTGGATTAATGCCAAGGCTCTGGTTAAGTTGAACGATGACTTGGTTGGACAGCTGCGGCAGAGAATGCAGACCTGGGACGAAGAGACGTCGCTCATGGGCGACATTTTCTCGAAAATTGTAAGTTGATACCAGTCGCTGGTGCTTGCTGTGTTGTGTGCCCTTGCAATGGTTGATGGGCAATATCACTGAGTATGGTACTGGAGGGATAGGTGTGCAGATCTTATTGATAAGATTGATAGACAACCACTCCAGTGTCGGTGACAGTGGGAATTGGGCAGTGTTCATCAGTTACTCATCATGGCCGGCCCGGATCCAGCTCCCAAGGAGTGGTACGGCCCCAGGTCAACTACAGGGCTGATCATTTCCCCCATGCCCTATTTCTGTATCCTGGGAGGATGCATCTCTAGCTCAATCATCGACATCATGGGTTATCTGGTTGTTTTAGCTACATGTTGGACTAGCAACAGGCATACAGCTAGCACAGTGGTCTTCACTGGGCAAGAGGAACAGTTTGGGAGGGAGAGACTCCAGTGAGAGGTGTGCCGGGCGAAGATAGCTTTTTAGTACATGATCAATTGCGGACTGGACATTCCATGAACGCTGAGATGGGTGAAAACTGATCATTGTGGCCATGACCATGCCTGCCGGGCTGGCGGCGCCGGCCCTGCATAGATAGAGGACATGAGTCAAGTCTCTCAAATGACAAACAGCATCAGGGAGATTGTATGCTGTCCTATTAATCACAGAGGGCCACATCTAGACTTCATCCATTCCCATATGATGGAAAGTAAGTTGTTCATTGTTATCTCTTCAGGCACCTCTTCTGAAGCTTCTCGAAGGCTACGCTCTGCAGTATCCCAATGCCAGGCAGGTAAGGAGATTGAGAAGAGTTTAGGATTTGCGTGCATTTTTGCCACTTTGACAGCTGTACCACCTGCTAGTACACTGCTCCCCCCCCCCCTAGGAGTATACTCCATGTCTCCCTCACCCCCCTCTACTCTTGGAGTACGAGACTCCATGTCTCCACCGCCCACCATGAAACGAATTGTTAGCTTGAAACCTCTCCGAGCTTCTCTCTCACTCTCTCTCTCTCTCTCTCTCCCTCTCTCTCCCCCCCCCCCTCTGTCTCTCTCTCTCTCTCTCTCTCTTTCATAAATGTAAATCACCCTCTCTATATCCCAATCTCTCTATCCCTTTCTCTCCCCTCTCCCTCCCTCCATCTCTCTGCCTCTCCCTCTCTCCCTCTCTCCCTCTCTCTGCCTCTCCCTCTCTCCCTCCCTCCATCTCTCTGCCTCTCCCTCTCTCCCTCTCTCCCTCCAGTCTCAGTCATGATACTGTGTGAACTGTTTGTCTTGTTCAGGTCATTGAGAAGTTGCGCAAGACCAATCGTAACTTCATGGCATTGTGTTCTAGTGCGGAGGCTAGCACTGGTCACACACTGCTATCCTTGCTGATGAACCCTATCCAGGTACAGGATTGCGGGCACTTCACGGCATGGTATATCGTTGTGATTACGGGTCGTTGTGTGTGTGTGTGGGGGGGGGGGGGTATATAAGTATGGACGGGTGAGGTTGGGTTGTAAAAGTATTATCTATGATAACACACATGGACCTGCACTCCAAATAACTAACCTGACTACATGTATTGCAATACACTGTATTATGATTTATGAGGGTTCGGGAGACACTTCAATGGCCGTGCACCTGTTTAGAACCATAATCGATTTTAACCCTGGCCAATCAATGGACAAGTAACATTATTCTACCAGCCAACTAGGTACCTCAGAGCTACCAAGCCCAATCAACTGGCCTATCGTGTATCCCATCGTGTATGTCTTCTCTATAACTCTGACAGTATCCTCTAGGTACTTGATGGTTGACTCCTATGACAGACGGAAAACATTGTATTCCGTCTGTGAAGAACACGGCGGTACGCCTTTGGAAAACATTTGAGTTTTCTGGTAAAAGCTGGATATGCTGTCGCTTGTCCTTCACCATCATGTTCTCGAATGCAGAGAGCACCTCGCTATCAGCTATTGCTGAAGGAGTTACTGAAGAACACAGCACATGTAAGTGAACTGTACAGGGTGGCACCATGTACATGTATGATGATGACAGCATGTCATGAGGCGGATGACACACTGTACTGGAAACAGTGTTCCTGAGTGACTACTTCACTACATCCTCCACCCGTCATGCAGTAAAGTGGAATATGGCCGGCAGCTGTGTCACAATATTTTATTGCTCCTGACTGCAACCAGAAACCGGCTGGTAGACTGTCCCGGTTTTACGGCCATCACAACCTTATGGGGGTCAAGCCCCAGGTTTGGATCCTCTCTGGTAGTATCATGTAGCATGTAAACAGCTAGCCCACGGCTCTCAGTGTCTGCTTCGCAGTAAGTGGTCAGAGACAGTTGGCCATTTGGTCGGTCCTGCAGTTTTTTTCATTCACCTTGTAACGAGCGCACACTGCATTGCAGCAGACTCCGATGTGCTGTGTCTGATACTGTATACATCTTGCAATTGTTTACATTAATTTAAGAAAGAAACCTCTTCGAATGAAGACACGGACCAGAGAGAGGAGATGCGCTAAGGTTCTCTGAGCTGTGTGTGTGTTGGAGAGCTCTAATATGGCAAACCAGTTGCTACCCTCGGATGTACTTTTATTATACACGCCTCCGGCATCAGGTGCTTACAGAATGCTCCGAATCAAGGCTGATCAGCTGATCGTGTTCCGTTCTCATGTGCTCTCTGGCCGTGTGTTTGTGTTTCCTTCATTTTAGGAGCACAAGGATTATGAGCACATCACTGGAGCGTTGGGTCAAGTTATCAAGGTAAGTTAGTTATGCACGAGTGAGTGGGTGTATGCATGAGTGGGTGGGTGTATGCATGAGTGAGTGGGTGTATGCATGAGTGTGTGGGTGTATGCATGAGTGTGTGGGTGTATGCATGAGTGTGTGGGTGTATGCATGAGTGAGTGGGTGTATGCATGAGTGGGTAGGTGTATGCATGAGTGTGTGGGTGTATGCATGAGTGTGTGGGTGTATGCATGAGTGTGTGGGTGTATGCATGAGTGTGTGGGTGTATGCATGAGTGAGTGGGTGTATGCATGAGTGAGTGGGTGTATGCATGAGTGAGTGGGTGTATGCATGAGTGTGTGGGTGTATGGATGAGTGGTGGGTGTATGCATGTGTCAGTGGGTGGCCTATCCAGTAGCTAGAAGGTCACTGGCAGTAGCATTGAGACAGCTGCTGTTACGGACTCTAGACTGGAGGATCGTGTGTTTGGTATTTGCCTGCGTATAAGCCGCACCTGTTAACACTAGACTTCTCGGGCAACGAAGGGGATGCGACGACTCACAATCGAGTGTGATATCCTACTTCTGTGAATAGATTGAAACAGCATGCCCGAATCTGAAAATGAGAGTGCAACTTACAAGTGTGCACTTGGGTGTCAATATGTGTGCATGCATGAGTGTATCTGAGCATGTGTGTATATCCACGTGTGTGCATGTGCGTCTCCGTGCATCACAATGCATGCACACATGTGTGTGTGTGTGTGTGTGTGTACATGTGTGTGTGTGTGTGTGTGTGTACATGTGTGTGTGTGTACATGTGTGTGTGTGTGTACATGTGTGTGTGTACATGTGCATGTTTTCACGCCCCAATACCTCGGCGCATACGCATTTCCCACATGCTCTGTGCCTGTGCACTTTCCACCCACACCAGATCAACATTGCTATGAATGAGAATCTGCGGCGTATGGAGAACGAGCAGCGTATCATCCAGATCAGCAAGTCATTTCCCAACGATGACACCGTAAGCTAGAGGATTTTTAATTATTGTTTCATCCGTACCTGACGATGGCAATATCGCCGAAACGGTGTACGTAAAAGAATTGGTTCGGTTCTTTGCAGTGCTTTGGGAATGGGTGTGTCCACCCAACTACCCAGTTTCTATAGAGGATTTTATTCTCATTCTTAATCCTAATACACCTGGCAGTCTTTCCCGCTTTGAACAAGACCCTAAGTCTGGGATATTGACCAGGCTGTGTCAGGCTACGGGTGTTAGCATGCACAGTTTAGAGAAATGTAGTCCCACCGGCAAGGGCGTTCACACGAAGTCATGATAGCCGATTGAGATGCTAATAAACAGGGACAAAAACAAAAACAAAAGGACAGGTACGCGACAGGTACGGTCGAGGGTAATACGACACCGTCTACCGCCTTGATGAGGGCAAAAAAAGAATAGGGATGTTATAAATTTTTCAATTCTCCTATTTTTCAGGCATTACCTGGGATTCGAACCCGCACTATCGCCCTACATGCATTCCCCCATACACTTCGCATTCATACTCATTCTTCCAAGCTGCTTCACGTTATGATCTTGCGTTTGAAAGCCCTATTTGAATAGTGCCGCCAGCTGTATGTGGCCAGCTGTGTTTGATGGTACGGTAATGTACGGGAAAGATACGGGATAGCGCCAGGTGTGATACAAACACACAAACAAACAAACAAACACCAAATTAAAGCTGTGTGGACCCTGGCTAGCGCCAGACGTTACTGAAGTAACGTCTTCTGCACAGCTACGGGAATTATTACAATTCCAGTAGGAAAATGCGTATCATACTACGGCAGTGAATAGTGTTGTGATGCCTAGCTAAGCCACGTTGGGATAGTTGATAAATATGGTGGTAAAGACACGCCTGCCCACACATGCTCTCTAGGCTGCAAAGAGGCTGCTAGAGAGCGTGTGTGGGCAGGCGTGTGTTTACCGCCATATTGCCAGGTGTGTCTTTACCACCATATTTATCAACCATGAGTACAGCTGCAGTGGTGTCTTCAACTTCAGGGCTCACAGTTGCGTAGAAAAGCGTCGATTAGATGGGGGCGGTGCACGTGCTCCAAAATGCCAGCTTGGCCAATCAGCAGTCAGCATTTCGTCGCATTTTTGCTCGAAGTAGGGGGTGTTTGAAGGAGTTAGCAGCACTTCAGCCAGGTTCTACGAAGCTGGGACTTGGCCCAGGCACAGATGACAGGTGTTCCAAAAGATTTACCGAAACAAATTTTCATTACTCACACGGGTATGCCAGAGCATATGCGTAAACTTCGTGAGATATAGTACAGCATTCGAAAGGAGTATCCAAAAACGTCTCGGTAAATTTCTTTGCCAGGGTCTCCTGAAAATTTTGAGCCATAGATTGTCCAAATCGACCAAGGGGGAGATGCTCTGTACTGATTTTAGTAACCCCGAGTCCCAGCGGCGCGCAACCGCTTGCGCGAAAATGTGTGAAGATCAAACAACAAGAAAAACGCATGCATGCAGCAGAACAGCAACGCGTGCCGTCGAAGAGAAAATCATTGTGCACAGATTGTTCAGTGTTCTCTCCTCAGTTCGCCCGCGGCGTTGGTTGCTGTGCTTTCATTCTCGCTGGAGTTCTTGTGGCAGCGCATTTCGCCATCATGGAGGAACTGGCACCC